TTTTGGATTGCTGATCTGGTATGAACCCCTTCATGAATATTCCCGATGATTTGTTGAGGAGGATGTTGAGTAATCCATCTGAAGTCAGATGTTCTGTTTATCTGATTGTCCTGCTCCTCCTCCTCTTCTTCTTCACTTTCTTCTGGTAAAATTGGGGGAATTGGAATTTCAATTCTTGTGTATGATTCAGCTGGTTTTTCAAGAGAATTAACCTTTGCTGGATCAGCTTCTGGCAGTGCTCCAGTCAACAATGTACATGTCCCCTTTTCTTCTACCAGTAAGCACAATTTTATCATTTTTGACATCTCTGATCAAACAGATGTCTTTGGAGAAGGTTACATTGTAGCCATTGTCACAGAGCTGGCTTGTGCTTATTAAATTGAACTTTAAACCCTTAACATAGGATATGTTTTGGATTGTAAGTCCTCCTCTGATTAAGTTTCCAACTCCTTTGGTTTCTCCTTTCTTTTCCTCATTCCCAAATGTTACTTTGGGTCCTTCCCTTGCCATGTAGTTTGACAGTAGCATTCTGCTTCCTGTCATGTTCCTGGAGCAGCCTGAATCTATGTACCATTCTTTTGAGTCGGCTGCTCCAGCACCCTCCTGTATTTCATCAGTGTTGAGCAGCAGCCCACAAGTTAGTGGGCATCTTTCCTTGAATTAGTTTGGGCATCCATGCCCATCTAGAACCATCTAACTCTAAGCAGATTGGTCTATAGCCATTTGTGGTGTTGTAATAATATGGAATGGCTGTGTATTTGTTTATTTTCTTTCTCCTAAATGTAGGAGAAGAGTGGTTTCTTTTGGGTAGGGTTTGCTGCTTCTTTGGTTGGTAGTTGGTCTTATTGGTGATTTGCCAACTGATTATTTGGTTTACTAGGTTGTTTGGAAAAATATGTCTGTACAGGAATTTGGTTTTTGGTTTGGGAGCAGGCTGATTCCTTCTTGTGGGAATAGGTTGGAAATGGGAGTGTTGGGGGGCTTGAATTTGTTGTTTTCTTAGGTTTGATGGTGTAGCTTGTGGACAAGGAGTTTTTTGGGTGTCTGGAGGGGGATTTGTATCCAAGGCCATTGTTCTTCCTTCTAGGGATAATCTCAGCAGTAGGGTCATTATGTTTACTATTCTTGCTGAGATTATTTATTTGGTTTTTCAGTTCAGTGTTCTCTTCTTTCAAGTATTTTATTTTAGTCAAGGCATCTAAGAGTTTATCATGAATGTTCTTAGTGTCTTGTTTTAATCTTTCATTTTCAGATCTTAAGAGAACATGGTGATTTTGGACCTTCTGAAAATCTTGAAGCAAAGATTCTAGAGTAATACTTGATGGTCCAGAATCACTTGAGCTATAGGAAGAACACGTGATTACCTCTACATCATTGAAGTGATCATTTGTCATAAAACATTTGAGTGAGTAGTCTTCTTTGTCAGAATCATCTTTGGTAGCTGTACTCCAGACCCAGCTGCTAACTTCCACAGCATCCTGCCAAGTTCCAAGACAGAGAAGTGCTTCTTCTGAGCTTTCAGATGAGGAGCTTTCATCACTTGAGCTGCCTTCATCATCACTTTGAGAATTTTCCTTCTTTTTCTCGCTTACAAAGGCTTGACGCTTGCCTTTGAAGTCTTTGTATCCAGCATTTTGAGTTGTAGTCTGCTGTCCTTGATATTTGTGTGTCAGTGGGAGAGGACACTCATTTTTGTAGTGTCCTGGTTGTCTGCAATTGTAACAAAGGACAATATTCTCACCTGATTGAGGTCTTACTTGTCTTCTGAATTGTTGGGTGTATTGCTTCTTTGAGGCCGTTCCCTCCTTCTTCATGAACCATTTGAACTTCCTCACAAACATTGCAAATTGTTCATCAGTGAGGAGATTGTTGAGTGACTTCTCAGTAGACTTTGATGAGTTGGGTTCGGACACTAAGGCTAGTGTCTTGATTTCTTCTTCTTTTTCTTCCTTTATTTCCTTCATTTCAAACTCATAAGCTTTTAGATCACTAAAAAGCTTATCTGTTTAGAGACTTCTGAGATCTCTGCTATCTCTCATGGCAATAACCTTTATATCCCATCTTGATGGTAGTCCTCTTAAAACTTTGAGAGAGATTTCTTTTTGGGAGAGAATTTTCCCTAGGTCAGAGACTTCTGCAATAATCTTAAGAAATCTGGACTCCATATCATGGATAGATTCATTTGGAAACATTTTGAAATCTTTAAACTTCTTGAGAGCAATAGTCAGCTTGTTGTCCTTTTCTTGCTCATCTCCTGCTCCAATCTTTGTTAATTCATCCCAGACGTCTTTGGCAGTTTCACATTTCCTTATTCTAGGAAATATGGATTCATCAACAGCTTTGAAGAGGATGTCTCTGACAACATTGTCAAGATTGTTTCTCTTCATGTCTTCAGTTGTCCATTCCATTTTTGGTTTTGGAATGTACATGTCATCTGATCCTTCAGTGGTTCTGGATGTGATGACCTTCATGATTTTGATGGGTCCATCTGTGATAACTTTCGGCATTTCATCATGTAGGACACTCAGATGTGCTTTCATTCTGATTTTCCAGTCATCAAATTTGTTGAAGTTGAACTAAAGATTTTTGGAAAGTTGATTGTCCATTCTAGAAGGTTTTGGGAGAGAAGTGGGTTTTGGATCTTTAGTTCAGACTAGTCAGAGACTGACTCTATGAACAACCCTCTCTGATACCACTTGATGGTCCCTCACAGATATGATGATCAGTAATCTTTTGAGAGATTAAGGATCTACAGCGGAAGTCTTGACCTCTCTCTCTCTCTCTCTCTATATATATATATATATATATATATATATATATATATATATATCAACCATCTGTTAGTGAGTGGACAAGGAGAAGTCTGAGAGACAGGGGAGCTTTGGTGGCAGAGATGTTTTGGACAGAATCTCTCAATCGGAATACCTTGGTGTGGCGTTCTGATGTCTTCTTGACAGAACCTTTCCTGAGGTCTTCTGTTGACCTTTGAACAGAATCCTTCACAAGGTCTTTTGTTGAATTTGTAAGGTGATAATAGCTTAGAGACTTCTGTTTGAAAGAGGAGTTCTTAGTGAAGGATGAAGAAGACTTCTAGAGCAAAGGGATGTCTTTGGACGAGAGTATAAACAGGCAATAAGCTTAACAGAGAGGTGAGCAGAGGAATAAGCAGTGAGTTGCTGCTGAGGTTACAGCTCACGTTTTTGTTAAGTTAAAGAAAGGTTTGGTGTGTGTTTTGTTGACTGAAAATGAATCAACACACAATATATCCTGGTTCAGAGGTGGTGTAATCCTCCTACATCCAGTCTCACCCTCTTTCAGATGGATTTCCACCAAAGTATTAAGCCCAATACACTTAGTGCCCGTCTGGCTGTTATCATCCAATTAGCTCAGACCTGAAGGTGTTTCACAAGGAGTACACACCACTCCAAGTTACTCAGTCCTTAGATTTTCTCAATTGATCCAGTGGGGATCAAAAGGTACTTTGTTCTATTCTACCACACTTAGGACTAGATAACATTGTCCTTCTAAGTGTTTACAACATTTTCAAAAGTAATAAACTTTCTAGCCTCCAATTAATAACTAAACTTCCAGAATATGGCAATGAGTGTTCTGTCTGGGAAGTTTAGTGAAACATGAGTCTAAACAAAGAGCTGAGTTTAAATGAACACTTTCTATTATGATGGGTTTCTTTTTGAATGCTTGATGTAATTTCTCTGTTTAGAAGACTCTCAAAAGCTTGAATATGAACTCATGATTGTGCCTTTATTTATAGGCATCTCCGGTTGATTAATCTCCTCTGTTGGTTGAGAGGATTTAATCTTTGACGTCGAAAGAATTGTACTTTCATCTTCTTGTGTTGGAGCAGATTATCTTCTTCAGACGCAATTGGATCAATTTGCAAGCAGGATATGTAAACTCATACCTTAGGCCTTCTACGCACTATTCACCTACTTGTAGGTTTTTGGCTTCACATGCAACTCTGCGTGTGTAGTGTCTCGTGCTTTTGTAGATATTGTGGACTTTGTGACTTTAGTCTTTTTGTATCGAATAATTTTGTACTGGTAGAATTTAAATATCCTTTGAAGGTAAAGGAAAATTACCTTATTACTTTTTATATTTCCAGTACAATTTGTTCGATATAAAAAGTGTACATGTTTAAATTTGGTCACAATTTTACTAGTGACATGGATAACTCTATAACAAATATAAATATACTGGTTGGATTTGAATATCCTTGTATGGTAAAAGAATTTTACCTTATTGCATTTTATACTTCCAGTATTTTTAATCTGTTATAAAGTTGTACATTTTTAATCTTGTCACTTAACATTGTATTTTCTCTTTTTCGTATCTTCTTCTATTTATGATGCTGTGCGTATTCTTATCTAAGCAATATTGGAGCACACTACTGTTTACATAATGAGTAGATGATTTTGAACCGAAAATCTAAACAAAAAAGGAGGATGGTATCATCAAAACTATTTCTTTACAATAATAGGTTATATCAAAGTCTGAGGGACCTAACAGAGACTAATCCACATCCCATTAGCAATGATTGCCCGTGATGATTTACCCCGACAAGTGGTGCAAAAGGCATGTCATATCTATTCGTAAGATAGGTCGTGTCAAATGTTATGACATCTCCAAATTCTTTGTACGCATATCTACACCTATTATCGGCCCAAAATACATTACGCAATCTTGACTCCTCATCTAAGTCAAGTGCAAAGAAAAATCCGGGGCAATGGTCTTGCATTTTAGCAAAGAACCCTTGAATGGCAATTGCATCGCCACTACCTAACCTAAGTTGTCTCACTTTATCTATATAGTTCCTACAATCTTTTTCAATGAAGGGAAGTTGATCATATCCGCGGTGAAGCTTTTATTAAGTCGTATTCCCGCAACTTCATTTATTGCAAGTTTCCTCGCCATTCCACGAGTCAACCTCCTATTGCACCAGAATAGTCTGGCCTTTGTTGGACTCATAGGGTGTGAATGTTGTAGAAACACTTTTGAAATTTGCCAAAGTCCCGAATAAATTACGTGCGCACGTAGTCTAGCTCCACACCCTATTTGCATTGAAGGTTGGGGCTTCAATTGATTTTTTGACTGAGTACCTCTATGACCAGCCCGCAAACACTGCAGTACAATTGATAGACCGCTTCCCATATGCTTTGTAAAAATCATAGACCGCTTCTCTACTTTCAAACTCCATACCAACTTCCGGATCTTTTCCAAGTTTACTCTCCTTTGCCAACCTTTCTCCATCTGTTATGGTAAATTGCTCATTTATTCATGCATTTCAACAAACTTAAACTTACACACAGACAGTGATATATGCACACACAGACAATTCCAAACTTTAACATACACGTTCAATACTACACAAACAAACAAGTCTTCCACTGTCTACATACAAAAACAAACAAACACATAAACAAGTGACACCTCCTACAACTTGCATGTGTCCACAAACGTATGCATGTGTTTCAAACAATTTAGCACACACAAACAGTGATATATGCACAGACACAGACAATTCGAAAGCTTCACAGACACGTTGAATACTACTAAGGGGTAAGCACGGACAATTTAAAAGTTTCACAGTTTTTTGAAGAAACATAAGCATGAGTTGAAACTAACTTAGGGGTACACAGACACATTATGTATCCACCACTATTTACGTACACAAACAATTAAACACATAAACACATAAGAACATGCATGTGAGAAGAAAGCTATTTTAATCTTCAATAAACTACTAAAACCATGAGATGAAGTCATACCGAGGTCAGAAACGACGTCCATGGCCGCCGGCGACGTCTGTCCTTCATCCTCTCTGGCTAGGTCCGTCTCAACGTCACCTTCTCCACGTCGGCCACTGTGTCCATCACCTTCTCCACCTCCGGCCTTCTGTCCAGAGCCTTCTCCGCCCTCAGGAGTCATGTCATCACCTTCTCCACCTTCGGCCGTTTGTCCGTCGGTTTCTCCAGCTCCGGCGGCGTATCCACCTTCTCCACCGCCGGGAACAACATTCAACAAAGCTCAAAACTCAGCGTCGTTTCTCACCATGCTGTCGTCTGTGTAAAAATCCATGACAGAGGAAGTAAAACCCAGAAATTATCTTTGCTTTTGGTGCTTATGATCGTCGAAGGAATAAGAGAGGAGGTGCGGGTGTTTTGATTTTCAAGAAAGGAGGGGAGCAAGTGGGTTACGCGGGTGAGGTGAGGGGAAAAGGGGAGGAGGGGAAAAGTGGGGGTAATTTTTTGGGGGGTTTATATAGTGTGTATAGGGTGGGTGCAATTATGTGTACAAAGAGCATTATTGTTTTTCTTTTTCTTTTTTGCTTTTTTACTTCTCTATCCGTTGATTTGATTATGAGGTAAATGAATATAGAGCCCGTTTGGTAGCACAAAAATCGGTTGTTTTGGCTGATTCTGCTGAAATTTATGAAGTTCTGGCTGAAGTGGCTGCATTGGCTGATCCTGCTCATTTAAGAAAAAAATATTTTTAAATTATATTTTATTAATAAAATAAAGAAAAAATTATATGTAAGAATAGCTAAAATGGTCATCTACAGTAACTTCAACCAATACAGCTAGAAAAATAATTCCAACCTTACTTTTTCTGCTTATTACACAATTCAGCGCACGAAAGCAAAAATTACATGTTTGGTGAAAAAGTTGGTTGATAAGCCGAAAAACAGTGTTGCCAAACGGCCTCATAGTCCAAAGGATTAGATGGTAGTTCTAACTTTGGATGTTTGGAAAGGGCGTTTCATTAAAAAAAATAGCGACTTGACCTTTTTTAACGTTTTGAATAAATGAAACGTTATTTCGTTAATAGTTGTTCGGGCATATCGTTTTTTAACGGAGCCGCTGAAATAAAAACGATGCAAATAGAAGAATTTTGGGTTAGCGTTTTGAAATATGACATTTTATGCTAATTTCTATGACCAAACAGATAAATTACCAAATATCTTCTGACAACCCGCCAACATATTCCGCTAGTCAAATCTGTTGACTGAATCCGCTATTGATAACCCACTAACGTAACTCATTATTCGTTAACCAATCATCACTAAATACCAAACACGCCCTTTGAGCTCATCACTCTTTATCATTTTTTTATAATTATACTCAAATCGTTCTCTTTTAATTGCAACACTCATTTTTTTATGTTTACCAACGCACAACTTTAAATATTAATAAATTTAAGGAAAAATTGAAAATAATAATCCCAACTATTGCTGGTCCGCTGAAAATAATCCCAACTATTTATTATTTTTGTATAATCCCAACTATATAGACTATCCGCCAATAATGGTCCATGACCATATATTACCTCTATAAAAAGTGAATTTTAAATAGAAATTAAGCGTAAAAATTAAAAGTTGATATTATTTAGAGGGATTACTTGTTATATCTCACCTCATCCACTTTATAGACTACAAGAATTTATTCATAGGGACCATTATTGGCGGAAGGTCCCTAAAGTTGGGATTATTCTGTAATAATCAATAGTTGAGATTATTATGAGCGAACCACCAATAGTTGGGATTATTACTATCAATTTTTCCTAAATTTAATTCTCTGTTAATTGCAACTTTAACTTTAACTATTAATGAATTTCATTTTGACTCCAATCACGACCCGGCGGCCATGTTACTCATATAACACCTTGTCATTGCAGCAGCCCGATGATTCTTAATATATGGACACCAGGACCACTTCTCATCTTACGGTTAATCCAGATACCTTGACTTGTGTTTTTAATAAAAGCAATGTTCGCTCAATTTTTGTTGGTAATGGTAATTGTATTCCAGTTATTGTTTGTGAAGCAAAAACTTCAACCCTGTTTGACCACCAACTTTGTCTCAAAAATACCTTGATCTCCCCACATATTATAAAAAACCTTGTTTCTGTTCGAAAATTTATCAATTATAATAACGTCTATGTCAAATTTGACCCAACTGTTTTTTCTGTGAATAATCTAACTACGGGGAACATTATTGTGAGATGCAATAGTTCTAGGGAGATTTAACCTATCACTGGCAATAATATTGCGTCCACCACCACCCCCATCTCTCTTGCTTTTGTGCACCCGAACGTTGGCATGAGCGGCTAGATCATCCGGGCAAAACTGTTTTAGACTTACTTCGTAATAAGTTTTTAACTAATGTTTTCAAACTTTGTCATTCTTCTCAAGTTAGTAAACATGTTCGGTTACCTTTTCCCCCTTTTGGGCCTAATACTACTGCTCCCTTTAATATTATTCATAGTGGTTTGTGGAGATGTCCTTTTAATAGTAACACTGTGATGGATTATATGGATCCAAGCATATAATTATTAGGAGAGATTTGAGCAAGAGAGGTGAGGAAGAGGATGAATAGTATTGAATTATGGAATTATGACTTAGGGTTACAAGAAGCTCCAAGAGGAGTATAAATAGGGAAATCCGGGTCTGGGCCTCTAATATGGGCCCGACAGACCTGATTACATAAATGGACTGATATAAAAAAGACTAATCTAGTGGATACAAATACAAATTGGACTATACAATAATATGAATGATATCGGTGAAGCGTGTATGGGCCGCTGTCCAGGCCCAATAGTCGTGAGACCCTGGGGTCCAAGTCTATATACTCTATCAGGAGTTCCCCACTCCCTGAGTCGAGAGTACTCGAGGCGAAAGGGAGTAGAACTGTGTGCTGATCTGTCGTCGTCTGGTGAGTAAACTTTGTGAAAATTTTGGAATTTCTACTTCTTTGGTTAACGGTGGCGCTAAGTCCCCCGCTCGTCCAGTCCCCCACTCCTTGAGTCCCCCACTCCTTGAGGTGAATGTAGTGAGGTGAAGAGGAGTAGAGTAGTGCATGCCTCGTGATGTCTTCAATAGGGACCGAGGGTCGACACCTTTTGTCCACGTTGGGGAGATGCCTCGTTAAAAATCTCATTAGGAAAAAACCCAGTGAGAAAAAATCCTAATGAGGGAAAAAGAGTACACCGGATGCCCCCAAAATGAAGCAAAAGGGGTGAACCCTTCGGCCTGGGCGTGGAGCTGAAGCGGTGTCCGTCTACCGAGGGGATGATTGAGACTAGTCTCTCGATGTGAGTAGCTCGGCATGCTATGTAGTTCTGGTCATCATTTAATTGCACCTATGCATTCAAATAAAATTGTTATAATTTCTTGAGCTTTCAATTCGTTATTGGATTTGGGCCTACATTAAATGGCCTCAAAATTTCAAGCTGGAGCTCAAATTATGTTTCTATGCTGGAGCATAGAAACCAGAGTGTGTATTAGATAACATTTGGATTTGAAGCTTATTTATCGCCACACCCGTTTGTCGTGACCCGTGGCGCGAGACTTCAATAGTCCGCCGGTGTACGCGAGTGCTCGGAATAAGTCCGTTTTTTTAATGTAAAAAAATACACACTATTTAAAAAATAATGATAATAAATTAATAATCTAACTCAACTTGCCACTCAAGTTCGTAGTTCGAATCCGCCAGTCCGCACTTTTCGGGATCTTTTAACGGATGACTCGCCCCTCAAGATTGAAATTTGATGTTATATTATTAATTTTTCATTTTTATGACTTTCTTTTTTGGAAGTCTTTAAAAGTAATGATAATAAATTAATAATCTAGCTCAACTTGTCACTCAAGTTCGTAGTTCGAATCCGCCAGTCCGCGCTTTTCGGGATCTTTTAACGGATGACTCGCCCCTCAAGCTTGAAGTGTTTTGCTATATTATTAAAATATTTCATTTTTATGACTTTCTTTGTAAGTCTTTAAAAGTAATGATAATAAATTAATAATCTAGCTCAACTCGTCACTCAAGTTTGTTAGAGCACCCGTTTGGTAAGTGGGAGGTCTTGAGTTCGACTCTCAATGAGAGCACCATTGATGGATTATATGGATCCAAGCATATAATTATTAGGAGAGATTTGAGCAAGAGAGGTGAGGAAGAGGATGAATAGTATTGACTTATGGAATTATGACTTAGGGTTACAAGAAGCTCCAAGAGGAGTATAAATAGGGAAATCCGGGTCTGGGCCTCTAATATGGGCCCGACAGACCTGATTACATAAATGGACTGATATAAAAAAGACTAATCTAGTGGATACAAATACAAATTGGACTATACAGTAATATGAATGATATCGGTGAAGCGTGTATGGGCCGCTGTCCAGGCCCAATAGTCGTGAGACCCTGGGGTCCAAGTCTATATACTCTATCACACTGGTTTTCGTATTATCTTATTTTATAAGATGATTTTACAAACTATCTTTGGGTCTATCTACTTAAACTCAAACCTCAAGTTTTTGGAAAATTTCTTGAGTTTAGTAGATTTCTACGCACTCAATTTGAAAGAGAAATTAAATCTTTTCAATGTGATATAGGACGTGAATTTGATAACTCCATGTTTCATACGTTTGCTAAAGAACGTGGTTTTGTTTTCCGATTCTCTTTCAAACGTCACCCCGGACCGGTAAAGCCGAACGGATGAATTGCCGCGTAAATGACATCACCCGCACCCTTATAATTCATGCCTCCATCCGTCCAAAATATCGGGTTGACTCTCTATGGTTGTTCATCTTCATAACATCCTGCCCACAAAAAACCTAGCCTTTTGCTCTCCGATATTATCCCTATACCAGCATCAACTTACATAAGACCACCTCCGTAATTTGTTGCCTCCTCTTCCCTGTCTCCCTCACATCCGCCTCCACCCCCTCCTCTTCTTCTTACGTATACTCACTCTATGGCCGCACGCGCCTCCCACTGAATCTTTAAACCTAAACTCGTGCTTCACCTTCATGTACCAACCCTCACCCCTATATCACCTCTCCAACGCTCCCATGTATCTGCCCTTCAGAGCTCTAAATGGAATGTTGGCATGAAAGATGAGTACAATGCTTTATTAAAAACACACACTTGGGATCTGGTTCCACGCCCCTTGGTGCTCATGTTATTCGCTTTATGTGGCTATTCTCGCATAAGTTTCACTCAGATGGTTCCCTTCAACATTATAAAGCTCGACTAGTTGCAAATGGAAAATTGC